CACAATATTGATTCCTCCTAACCATGAGCATAGAATGTTTCTCCATCTGTTTGTTTCCTCTCTTATTTCCTTGAGCAGTGGTTTGTAGTTCTCCTTGAAGAGGTCCTTTACATCCTTTGTTAGTTGTATTCCTAGGTATTTTATTCTTTTTGTACCAATTGTGAATGACATTTCATTCTTGATTTGGTTCTCTTTAAGTCTGTTATTGTTGTATAGGAATGCTTGTGATTTCTGCACATTGATTTTGTATCCTGAGACATTGCTGATGTCACTTATCAGCTTCAGGAGATTTTGGGCTGAGATGATGGGGTCTTCTAAAAATGCAGTCATGTCGTCTGCAAATAGAGACAATTTGACTTCCTCCTTTCCTAATTGAATACGCTTTATTTCTTTTTCTTGCCTGATTGCTCTGGCTAGAACTTCCAATACTGTATTGAATAGGAGTGGTGAGAGAGGGCATCCTTGTCTAGCACCAGATTTGAAAGGGAATGCTTCCAGTTTTTGCCCATTCAGTATGATATTGGCTGTGGATTTGTCGTAAATAGCTTTTATTATTTTGAGATATGTTCCATCAATACCTAGTTTATTGAGGGTTTTTAGTATAAAGGGCTGTTGAATTTAGTTAAAGGCCTTCTCTGCATCTATTCAGATAATCGTGGTTTTTGTCTTTAGTTCTATTTATGTGCTGGATTACATTTATAGACTTGCATATGTTGAACCAGTATTGCATCCCTGGGATGAAGCCTACTTGACCGTGATGGATAAGCTTTTTGATGTGCTGTTGCAATCAGTTTGCCAGTATTTTAGGGAAGATTTTTGCGTTTATGTTCATCATGGATATTGGCCTGAAGTTTTCTTTTCTTGTTGAGTCTCTGTCAGGTTTTGGTATCAGGATGATGTTGGTCTCATAAAATGATTTGGGAAGGATTCCCTCTTTTTGGATTGTTTGGAATAGTTTCAGAAGGAATGGTACCAGCTCCTCTTTGTATGTCTGGTAGAATTTGGCTGTGAACCCATCTGGACCTGGGCTTTTTTTGGTCGGTAGCCTATGATTTGCTGCCTCAACTTTAGCCCTTGTTATTGGTCTATTCAGGGTTCGACTTCCTCCTGGTTTAGGCATGGGAGGGTGCAAGTGTCCAGGAATTTATCCATTTCTTCCATGTTTACTGTTTTATGTGCATAGAGTTGTTTGTAGTAATCTCTGACTCTAAGTTGTTTGTAGTAATCTCTGATGGTAGTTTTTATTTCTGTGGAATCGATGGTGATATCCTCTTTATCATTTTTTATTGCATCTATTTGATTATTCTCTCTTTTCTTTTTTATTAATCTGGCTAGTGGTCTGTCTATTTTGTTGATCTTTTCAAAAAACCACCTCCTGGATTTATTGATTTTTTGAAGGGTTTTTTTGTGTCTCTATCTCCTTCAGTTCTGCTCTGATTTTAGTTATTTCTTGTCTTCTGCTAGGTTTTGAGTTTTTTTGATCTTGCTCCTCTAGCTCTTTCAGTTTTTATTCTAGGGTGTAGATTTTAGATCTTTCCTTGCTTCTCATGTGGGCATTGATTGGTATAAATTTTCCTTTAGACACTGCTTTAAATGTGTCCCAGATATTCTGTTATGTTGTTTCTTCATTCTTGTTGGTTTCAAAGAACATCTTTATTTCTGCCTTCATTTCATCATTTATCTAGTCAACATTCAAGAGCCAGTTGTTTTGTTTCCATGAAGTTGTTTGGTTCTGAGTTAGTTTCTTAATCCTGAGTTCTAATTTGATTGCACTGTAGTTTGAGAGACTGTTTTGATTTCCATTATTTTGCATTTGCTTAGGATTATGTGGTCAGTTTTAGAGTAGGTCCAATTATGTGGTCAGTTTTAGAGTAGGTACCACGTGGTACTGAGAAGAATGTATATTCTGTGGATTTAGGGTGGAGAGTCTATAGATGTCTATTAGGTTTGCTTGGTCCAGATCTGAGTTCAAGTCCTGGATATCCTTGTTAATTTTCTGTCTTGTTCATCTGTCTGATATTGACAGTGAAGTGTTAAGTCATCCTTTTTGGGCTGGTTTCTTCCCATCTTTGTGGAATTGTCTACCTGTAGTCTTTGTAGTTGACTTTTGGATGGGGTCTCTGAGTGGACATCCTTTTTGATGATGATCAAGTCATTTGTTTCTGTTTTTTAGTTTTCCTTCTAACAGTCAGGCCACTCTGCTGTAGGACTGCTGGAGGTCCACTCCAGACCCTGCTTGCCTGGGGATCACCTGTGGTGGCTGCAGAACAGTAATGGTTGCTGCCAGTTTCTTCTTCTGTTATCTTTGTCCCAGAAGGATACCTGCCAGATGTCAGCATGAGCTCTCTTTTATGAGGTGTGTCTTTGGATATATGGGGGTCAGGGAGCTGCTTGAGGAGACAGTCTGTCCCTTATAGGAGCTCAAGTGCTGAGCTGTGAGCTCCATTATCCTGTTCAGAGCTGCTGGGCAGGCACATTTAAGTCTGCTGCAGTGGAACTCATAGCTGCCTTTTTTTCCCAGGTGCTCTGTCCTGGAAAGGTGGGGATTTATTTATATGTTTCTGATGTGCTGCTGCCTTTTTTCAGAGATGCCTTGCCCAGTGAGGAGGTAGCCTAGTCACAGTCTGTCAGCAGAGGTGTTGCTGAGCTGCCGTGGGCTTTGCCTAGCTGCTGTGTGAACCTCCTTGTGGTTTTGTTTATAGAGGTATAGTTAGAACTGCCTCTGTAAAGGTGGTCTGCCTCAGTTATGGCGGACTGCCTCGGTAATGGCAGATTATGTCAGTAATGGCGGACTGCCTCAGTAATGGTGGACTGCCTTGGTAGTGGTGGACTGCCTCAGTAATGGCTGCCCTTCCCCCGACAGAGCTGTACCATCCTGGGCCCAGCTGTGCTTGCTGTGAAACTCTCAATCCAGAGCATTTCAGATTGCTGGTCTTTGTCGGGGTGGGACCTACCGAGCCAGATCACCTGGCTCTCTGTTTCAGCCCCTTTTTTTTTTCAGTTGAATGGGCGACTCTGTCTCCCAGGTGTTCCAGGTGCCAGTTGAAATGTCCGCCCAGATTTGTGTGAGTTTTTGTGTGGAGACCCGCTGCGCCGGTGCTGGAGACTTGTGGTGCTTTTCTGCCTGGGAATCTCCTGGTCTGTGGGCAGTAAAAACTGGTTTGGAAATGCAGTGATCACTCACCCTCTGCGTTCTTGCCGGAAACTGCACTCCAGAGCTGTTCCTATTCTGCCATCTTGTATCTGTTTCCTCTTTTTGTATAACTTTTTGTTTTCTTCAGAGTTCTTAATTGCTTTGATATTTCTTTTGCTTCATTTTCTGTGTATTTAGAGAAATGTATCATCAGAATGCCAAACATATATCAATATTACTTTTAGAAATGGTCAAGCATATTGGATAATCTATGAATCTTCCCTCCTGCCGTTTTCCCTAGAGACCTCCTCCTGCTCCAGTATAGACTGATTTTTTTTTCTAGTGTCTGATGATTTCATAATAATAAGTCTTTGATGAGGATGTTTGGTGAGGATGACACTCAATGGGCTCTTTCTAAATCTTAGGGAATTCTCTGTACATTATAAGCAATTTTACATAAGCAAATTTTGAAAGTGTGTTTTTGGTATCTAATAATTAGTCATAGCAGGACCTCCTTCATTTTCTGCTTAACTAGGTTTACATAGTAGCATGAAGAGAATGTTCCTGATTGTGGATAAAGTACTGTATCTGGATGCTTGAAATGCCTAGTGACTAAAAGTAGAATTTGCTAATATATAATTCAAATCCTATTTCTTGACATGTATATTAACCTTAGGGTCAGTCACCTGAATTTTAAATTCCACATAATTACTAAGAGTATATTCCCAGACAATTTCTTATACTCCTAGTGACACTAGCTAGTGTAAAAACTAGTTTCAATATAGATAAGTTAAATATAATTAAAAAAAATTTAAAACATGGCACAAAAATAGTTTTACATACCAGTATTTATTAGTTGCATTAGAAGCTTTACATAACAGTGGAGAATTAACTATACTAGTACCAATAATTTTTTATTTCAGCACTTTACATATATAGAATATGTAGTTATTTTTTACTGTGTACTTTCAGAGTAGGCCAATGGCATTATTTTACTTTGCTGAAGTAGAAATTAAAGCCTTTGAAATTCATGATTAAGTTTTCTTATGGGAACTTCTTGTTCTCAGATAATTCATCTCCCTGTAAAGGAGGATTAGTCTTTTCCTAGATAATCCACATGTAAACCATGGAAGACACTGATTTTTTTTGGGAAGTATACATTTTTTTTCAGTGTGTTTCGCTATATTTTAATATCATTCCTTTTCAAGATTGTTGTAACTCAAATGTGCTATTCAGCTGAAGTCTTGTAGAACATGGCTCTCTACTTTTATTTGATTTATTTTTATTTATTTCCTGAGAATATTGCTGGAAGAAAAAAATGCTTTTAAGTATTTAAGGTCTTGGTTGAAACACTCAGCCCTGGTAACCTTTACAAGCAGAGATTAAATATGTATGATCAAATCATTCTCCCCAAATGCATCATGGCCTCTGGAATGTCCCTGGCCTCTGCCTAGACCTGTAGCTTTGAAGCAATGACACATCTCAGGATGCACCACCCTTCACCCTTCCTTTTCTGTCTTCAGCAGTATTGTCCATTGAGAGTTGTAGACAGACATGGGGATGCTGAATCCCCAAGGGTAGGGGTAGTTTGCCTTGTATGCCTATTTTATTTTTCAGTTAAGGAATTGGGTGGTGGTGGAGTTCATGCTGAGGGATGGGTGGGGTCAGAGAAACACCAGCCAAATATTTTGGCAGGATTATGACATTTCCCTTACAATTTTGGATACTTTACAATGAATTATTTTTCTATTTGTATGTGTTGTGTAAGGAGCTACTTGCATTTATATTGTATTACTGGATGCTTACCAAAAATAAATGTGTTTACTCAGTCAACTGATTATGTAAACTTTTCGTTTTGTGTCATCAGTTAGAGTGCACATCACGTCTCTCTGAAGAACAGTTAAAGTGTCTTCTGGATGAATGCATAGTTAAACAAAAATCCATCGTTAAACTTTCTTCAGAAAGAGAAAATGAAGACATTGAAGACGTAACACCTGTGTTTCCCCAGCTTTCCAGATCCATCATCTCTACATTACTAAATGAATCAGAAACAAAGATCCAGAAAACTGAGGAAGAAGAAGCAAATTTGCTTGAGAGTGCAGAATGTGAAGCTTCTAAAGGCTACTATCTCACTAAAGCCTTGGCTGGACATCACATGTCAGAAGCGCTCATCACTGAAGCAGAGAATATGAAATGCCTTCAGTTTTCTGAGGATAACATTGTTAATGACACAAAAGACTATTTTATGTCGAAGACTCTTGGCATTGGGAGACTGAAAAGGCCCTCTTTCTTGGATGACCCACTGTATGGTATCAGTGTGAGCCTTTCATTAGAAGACCAACATCTGAAACTCAGTCCTTCAGAGAAAACAGAAACAGGTGAGGCTTAGTGAACAAGTGTTTTGGTAAATAATTCTTGAAAGCACCTCAATATAAAGGTATCATGGTTTAAATTAGAGCAGGATAAAAAGGCATATTTGTAAGTCACAGCGTCAATAAGAGCATGCAGACATAAAATATATTTACCAATGTTCTTATGAAATCAAGGTTGAGGTTAGTACTCTTATGAAATACGTTATTCTTGATGGTAATTAATTTTGTCATCCAGAAAATAATGTTGGTTTCACAGGAAAAGAGAAATTAGTTTGAATGGAGAGAAATAATTGGAATAGATTTGCTTAGTATTTCAACTTCATACTTTAGTATTTTCAAAACGTTAGTGATGAAAATTTGTTCTAAGGAATGAATTTAACGTGTAAAACACCATAACTCATTGTGGTTATATTAGTTTCTATGTGCAGACTTCCTCTCCCAACCTACTCCCATGTTCAGGTATTTCATCATGATCTAGTATTGCATCTTGCAATGGTACAATGGTACAGGATACAACTACAACTAGTTTTTGACACAAACAAACATTCAATTATTTATGTTAGAAATCTGTGTCACAATTGGTGAATCTATTTAAATAGATTCAACTTTTACCTCTTACATAGATTCCTCTAAAATAGATTGGCTATTAAATTTCTATCTAGTAATCTATTTCTTATTAAATCTATAATCCATTAACTCTGAACCGAGTCAGATTTCCGTCTTGACTTCCATTTCTTCAATCACACAGGCTCAAAATTTGAGTCATTGAATCATCCCTCTTTCTTGCTTCCCACTTCTAGTGTTCAGGTGTTGTTTGTTCTATTCCTACGGGGTCTCTCCTGCCCATCCCTTCCTTTCTCTTCCTACAACTTCAGCGGGACCAATGTCTTGACCCTTCTTTCAGACCTCCCTGCCTTAAATCTCTCTTCTCCTCCTGCCATTGTTGACAGCCGCTAAACTAATTTCCTTATAAGCACAGCTTTGATAACCACACTTCCCAGCTCAGAAACCTTCTATGGCTCTCCAACTGCCTATTGATCAGTCAGAATTCTTTAATTTGCTGTTCAGTGTCTCCATGGCCTTACCTGAAGTTCTTTTCCTAATCAATCTCTAATTAGTCACCTAAATGTTATTCAGTGTATAGCTAATCTGATCTAAGGATTTCCAGTGATTTCCTAGCCTCTGCTGTTGTTCAGGCCGTCTTCTTCCCAGAAATGTTCAGGTACCCCTTCAACGGTAGTGATTCCAACCTTATCATCTCTGATTGTAGCCTTCTCTGGTGCCCTCTGTTAAAACTTTTCTATCTTCTGTGAATGTCCAAGCACTTTGGTTTTCTGTAGGATCACATACACACCTTCTCTTCCTTAAAACTGTGTAATGTTTTTAAAGCAGAGATTCTATCTTGCAACTCATTGCTACATTTTCCATGATGTCTTAAGTGCTCTCTTAAGCCAAGTGCCTGTTTAATAAATATTTTAAATGTATAACCAGTTTTAGAATAAAATACTGAAAATAGGGTTCACATTCTTGACTTTGCCAATGAAAGTAGGTAATGTTGCTTAAGAATTATGTAAATCACACATTCTATATAAACATCTGTTTGTTAATAATCCTCACCTGTTCAGAGAGAATAAATAAGTGGGTCAGTCTGCATGAGGCACTGAGACCAAATGCTGTGAGCTCCTGAGGCTGTCAGCTGGGAAGGCTGTTGGCCCCCAGATAGTCCTGCTTCGTTATTCTATCTGAGTGTCTGCTTCTCAGTTCCTTCAGTGCCACCTGGATGGGGGTCTGTACGGCCGAGCTGGTTCTCTTTTTTTTTTAAGGCCAGATATTATTCCATATTGTGTATATACCACGTTTTCTTTATCCATTCATCCATTCCTGGACACTTAGGTTGATTCCATATCTTGGCTATTGTGAGTAATGCTGCAGTGAATATGGACGTACAGATAAATGCAGATATCTCTGACATATTGATTTCAATTTCTTTGGACATGTACCCAGCAGTGGAATTACTAGATCATATGATAGTTCTACTTTTAGTTTGTTTGAGGAACCTCCAACAGTTTTCCATCATGGCTGTACTAATTAGATTTCTGCCATCAGTTCCAGGGTTCCATTTTTCCACAGCCTTGCCAGAACTTACCTTTCATCTTTTTCTGTTTTTGTTTTTGAGACGAAGTCTCTTCCTGTCACCCAGGCTGGAGTGCAGTGTGCAATGGCATGACTTTGGCTCACTGCAGTCTCCACCTATCAGGTTCAACTGATTCTCCTACTTCAGCCTCCTAAGTAGCTGGGATTACAGGCACATGCCATCACGTCTGGCTAATTTTTGTATTTTTAGTAGAAACAGGATCTCACCATGTTGGCCAAGCTGGTCTCGAACTCCTGACCTCAAATGATCCACCTGCCTTGGCCTCCCAAGGTGCTGGGATTACAGGCATGAGCCACCACCCCTGGCCTTTTTCATCTTTTGATAATAGCTGTTCTAACAGGTATGAGGTAGCATCTCATTTTAGTTTTAAGTTACATTTTCTTAATGATTAGTGATGCCAACTATTTTTTCATGAACCTGTTGGCCATTTTTATGTTTTGTTTTGGAAAATGTTCGTTCAGGTGTTTTGCCTATTTTTAATTTTTTTTTTTCTGCCCATTGAGTTGTTTGAGTTCCTTATGTATTTTGGATATTTATCCCTTATCAGATGTGCTGTTTGAAAATATTTTCTCCCACTTCATAGATTGTCTCTTTGTTCATTGTTTTCTTTGTTGTGCAGAAGCTTTTTGGCTTGATATAGTCCCATTTGTCTTTTTTTGCCTGTGCATTCAAGGTCATGTTAAAAAAAAATCATTGCTTAGACCAGTGTCACCAATAAAACATAAATATGTTTTATTCTAGTAGTTTTACAGTTTTGGGTCTCATATTTGTCTCTTTAATCCATTTTGAGTTGATTTTTGAGTTGATTTTTATACATGGAGTGAGATAAGGATCAAATTTTATTATTCAGTTTTCCCAACATCTTTCCCCATTGTGTGTTCTTGGCATCTTTGTCAAAAATCAATTGACCATAAATGCGTGAGTTTATTTCTGAGCTTTCTGTCCTGTTCTGTTGGTGAAGTATCTGTTTTTACACCAGTACCATGTTGTTGTTGCAATTACAATTGCGTTATACTTTGAAATCAGGGAGCGTGATACCTCCAGCTTTGTTCCTTTTGCTCAAGATTGCTTTGGCTGTTCAGGGTCTATTGTGGTTCTATATAGACTTAAGGATTTTTTTTTTTCTTTTTTTGAAAATGACATTAGAATTTTGGTAGGAATTATGTTAAATCTATAGATAACTTTGGGTAGTGTGAACATTTTAATTATTCATTCTTTTAATCCATGAACATGGGACATCTTTTAATTGATTTGCATTTTCTTTATGTTCTTTCATCAGTGTTCTATAGTTGTCAATATGTAGTTCTTTAACCTCCTTGGTTAAATTTACTAAAGTATTTTTTTATTAGAGACAATTGTTAATGGGATTTTCTTAATTTCCTATTTGGATAGTTTGTTTTTAAATGTATAGAAATGTTCCTGATTTTTGTATGTTGATTTTATATCTTGTAACTTTACTGAATTTTTTTCATCAGTTCTGACATTTTTTGGTGAAGTCTTTAGGGTTTTCTATAAATAAGATCATGTCATCAGCAAAGAGAGATAATTTCACTTCATTTCCCATTAGGGTGCTTTTTATTTGTTTTTCTTGCCTGACTCTAGCCAGGACATTAAGATGTTGAAAAAAATGTGATGAGGGTAGGCATCCTTGTGGAAAAGCTTTCCACTTTTCACTGTTGGGTATGATGTTAGCTACAGATTTATTTTATGTGAACTTTATTATGTTGAAGTGCATTACCTCTAAACCTAATGTGTTGAGAATTTTTATCATGAAATGGTGTTGAATTTTGTCAAATGCTTTCTCTGCATGTATTGAGATTATCATAAGGTTTTTATCCTTCATTTTATCATTAATGATATACATTATGGTGTATCCCACTTATTAATTTGCATTGTTGAACCCTCCTTGCATCCCAGGGATAAATCCCACTTGATCATGTGAATGATTCTTTTAATTGCTTTTGAATTTGGTTTGCTAGTACTTTGTGGAGGATTTTCACATCCATATTTATCAGTGATAATGGCCTGTAATTTTTTGTTTTTTCTTGTAGTATTCTTGTCTGGCTTTGGTATCAAGATAATTCTGGCCTTGTACAATGAGTTCGGAAGTCTTTCTCCCGCTTCAATTTTTTGGAAGAATTTGAGAAGCACTGGTATTAGTTCTTCTTTAAATGTTTGGTAGAATCCAGCAGTGAAGCCATCTGGCCCTGGGCCTTTTTTAGATAGGAGGCTTTTTATTACTGAGTCAGTCTTCTTGCTCATGAGAGGTCTCTTGAGGTTTCTTTATGATCTGGTCTTGGTAGGATGTATGTATCTAGGAATCTGTTTACTTCTAGGTTGTCCAATCTACTGGCATATAATTTTACACAGCAGTTTCTAATTACCCTTTGTATTTCTTTGGTGTCAGTTGTAACATCTCCTCTCTCATTTCATTTTTGTTTTGTTTTAAATAAGCAGAAGTTTTTAACTTTAAAAAGTATTTGTTTTTGCTTTCTAATAGCACAACACATGTAAATTTGTTGAAGGATATTTGAAACATACAGAAAAGTGTAGAAGATAAAATCATTGTCCAGACCTATTCATTGTTAATATTAACATTCATCTTTTTTCTAGTTGCATATTTTAAATTCTGTCTATATCCTTCTTATAGTATATTCTGCTATTTGCTTCTTTATATTTTGAGCATTCTCTGTTATTAAATATTCTTTTAAATCATTCATTATAATGGCTATAGTGTATCCTATTGGTGTATGATAATTTAAGCATTTCTTTATTTTTGGTCATTTATGTTCAGACTCTTCATATAAGCTAAAACTATCATGAGACACAAGTATGGCCATAATCATTATCT